TTTTTTTTTTATTCTTTGATAGGGTCTCACTAAGTTGCTGAGGGCCTTACTAAATTGCTGAGCCTTTTCTCAAACTGGAAATTCTCCTACCTCAGCCTCCCACTTCATTGGAATTATAGGCATGAGCCACCTGGCCCAGCAAAAAAGTATACATCTTAATTTAAATTCTAATATTATGGCTTCAAACTAGTTGTTTATTTAATAAAGTACTGCTAAATTTTATTTGACCTGCTAAATGTATACTACTAACCACATGCTTTCTTCAAATGTCCTTTGTAAATAAGGCCCACCTGAAAATCCCATTTAAAATTCCACTCTCGCTTCCTTATACCATTCTGTTTTCTTCTTTTTCATAACATTACCTTTTAAGTTACTCCATTTATTACCTACTAGGTACTTTTTTTACTGTGTATATTACTTATTCTATGAATATGTGAGATTCAGAAGTGATTTTATATTAGCTTTCTATTGGTGCCATTTAAATTGCAACGTTAACTTTGTGCCTTAAAGTCACAAAGATTGATTGTTTTACAGTTACATAGGTCAGAAGTTTGGCACTGTGTCACCATACTAAAATTAAGTCTTCAGCCAGCTGCATCCCTCTCTAGATAATCTGTGTCTTGCTCATTCAAGTTGTTGCTGGAATTTGGTTCCTTCTGGCTGCAGCACTGAGGTCTCTGAGCTCCTGTTGGCAGCAAGTTAATGACCCTTCCCAGGTTTTGCAAACTGCCGTATTGCATTCCTTGACTCATGGCCGCCTTCCACCTTGGAAGCAGTAAGAGCAGGCCCACAGGTTGCCTCCTTCTTTAAATCCTGCCGCTTCCCTTTCATTTTTAAGAGCTCATGGAATTAGACTGGGTCCATTTGGATAATCCAGAATAATCTCCCTACTTTTTAAAATCAGTAATTAGAAACCTTTTGGTATCTAGTCTAAATTCCTCTTCCATGCCATGTAACATATCCATGTTTTGTGGGGATTAGGACGCAAACATCTCTAGGAACAATTATTCTGCTGATCATAGTCCATCCTAGAGATTTACCTCTACCCCACCTGCAAAATACCTTTAGAGATCCCAAACTCCCCTAGGTCTCATCCCATTACAGTGTCAACTCAAAGTTCAACATCTCTTCTGAACTCAAACCCAAACATCATGCTTTAAAGCAGGTGGAGGTGAGGTTCCAAACTTAATCTCTCTGGGTACACAATATTTTCTCCTTTGGTAGTCTAATAAACTAAGGCAATGTTATCATCCTTTAAGATACAACGGGGCAGGCATTGAATAACAGTTATAGACATTCTGGTTCAAAAGGGAGAAAATGAAAAATTAAAAAGCAGTTACCAATCCTAAGCAATTTAGGAATCCAACTGGGAAAATTCCATTTGCTTTCAAGGCAGGGAATCATCATCTGCAACCTACTGGCTTCCATGTCCTTCCCTCCTGGCTCCTGGCTCTGCCTCAGGCATCAGCTTTGCTCTCTCAGCTCAAAAGCAATACTAAATCATTACAAGTGTCTTCAAACCTCCTTTTTAATCATCATTCTTCATACACTCATAGATGACTGTAATTCAAGTCATTTCAGAGTCATCTCCCTCAACTGACACATAATAGGAGTTAAATTTTTTTGTTGTTGTTAATATGTGGGTTTCCAGTTTTCCCACCCACAGGACTGCATGTTTTTCCATATTCATTCTCAGAGCCTGCTTCCGGTTTTAGGAGATAGGGTCATTCCTCCTGTTCAAGACCAGGATCTCCACCTGTGCCCATGACTCCTTTCCCTTCCACCTCCTGTAAGATTGTGAAGTTCTGTCCCATCAGGCATCCTTCCATACAGCCGGCCAGTCTATTTTCTACTTATTCCTTTTCATCATTCTGTGAATATGCCTGAGTCTTCTTTTTTTTTTTT